TTCGATGACGTTCGCATTTGGTCCGCTTTGTAACGTTCGCTGGCGGACATTCCGATGACGTTCGCATTTGGTCATTCTATAACGTTCGCTGACGGACGTTCTGAGGACATTTGTTTTGCAAACGTCCCTATTTTGTCCCTCAACTGGAATTTCCATGACAACACTTGCAAAATCCAGTCGCCCATGCGTTTGCTCATCAACTGACACTTCACTTGACAACTCAGACAAACGAATAATTAAACTAAAATATAAATGCAAACATTTGCATTGATTGTAAAATTAACTTCATGCTAAAAATGTTAGTGTTTTAATGTTAAGATAACTTTCATGTTACTTCATAAATTATATCACTAATTACATATAAAACCACGAGTCTGTTTTCGCTCTTTATAATTGAAACATCAAAAACATGATAATTGATGCAACTGAATATGAGCTACAATTTGGCTATTCCACATGCACGAGGAGCTCTAAAAGAATGCATCGACTTCAAATTAAAAATATTATTTTTAAATATTATATTACAAAGAGCCAACTAAACCAGTTTACATTTGTACTATAGACATTGTACTGTTTTAAAAATGAATAAAAATATCCGAAGCAATGTAAGGCTAATTGTTTAGCTACATTAAATAATTTCCCACACCATTATGATTTTTAAAAACTGTCTATTTAATGTGTGATTAATGTAAATCACAGTGAACATATTCATGCAATAGTTAAAAGAATCCACCATATAAATATCTTTGCATCCTCCTCCCAAATATGAAGTGCTGTGAAAAATAATTGTCACAGCAAATCTCCACACAAGCACATTAAATCAAGATCAAGAACAAACTTGACTGTACAACTATAACCAAAATGGAAAACACTTTTATTATCGCTAAGGGTTCAAAATGTAAGCAGAGTAATGCAAACAGAAATGCAGATGGACAGCTGCTGAATCAGATGAAAGCAATGACTTCAAATGCAGGAGACGCCAAAAAGGATGGAAACGAGTCCAATTGCTGAAAGAAAAAAAAAAAAGGAAAAATGCAGGTAAGATATATACATTCTTCTGTAATCTTGGCCTATATCATATTTCACAACCATAATATAAATTTAATCTGACAGACTGTTGGGGCCCGTTTCAATAAGGAGGTTCAACCAACTCTGAGTTAAAGCTTGAACTCAGAGTTGACTTACCCTGAGATGGGAAACTCTGAGTTTTCGGTTACAGAACAGCTGAAATGAGTTAGTTCAATCAACTCTGAGTTGACTGACTCTGAGTTAAGCGCGTGCACCACAGCTATAAAAAGCCATTATCAATGGAGCGCAGATATTACGAGTCACCATGGCAACAGCACCAGACAAAAAAGAGGTGTTGGGTATAATTAATTACCAAGTAATCTAAATATTGTAATTTAATTAAAGGGATTACTCTTAATTCTTCTTTAATTTAAAATAAAATATGATGCAAATAGGCTACTGCATAAACTATAGACCAATTCAGTATAAAACAATAGTAGTGGATTTAGCATACATTTTTAAAAGGTATATTTTTATATAACCTTCTCCCTCTACACACATTGATCAATTCAAGAATAATTCCTGCAATTGTATTGTTAATTTGAAAGCATTAAAAGTGCAGTTTCTTGTCTCTCCTCCTTGTATTAATCAAGTGGTTGAGGTTGATATGGGATTTAGTAATATGTAGACCAATACTTTCTAGAGATAGTAATTATTACATTAATCTAACTACACCGTTGAAGATGTCATTTGTAGTTAATAATTCATAACTATTTTAGAGTAACTTATAATATCAGAGGTGAAACTGGAAGAATGTTATTCAACCTAAAGTAGTCTACTATTACTTTGATACATTTTTACTTAAGTAAAAGTAAAAATACCAGTCTAAAAAATCTACTCAAGTAAAAAAGTAGTTAATTTAAAACATGAGTAAAAGTTGCTGAGTAACTTGTTTAACAGCGGGGGTGGGGTGGGGGACTCCCCCATGTGGGGTTGTAACGTATGAGAGTTTCACAGTATGAGAACCGTCTCAGAAAATATCACGGTTTATGGTATTAAACAATTGTTAAATATATAAACTGCATTATTAAATTACGGTTATTATTTTCATCAGTTAAAATGACAGTTAAATAAATTAAACATGTATTCAATAAAACATAATATCAACTAACTTCAATAATTGATTATGATTATGATTGACATCTTATTTTTTATCATGAATAACTTATTAAATTTTATTAAAATTTTTTCAATGATTTAATAGAAATATATTATCCAAAACAGTGGTAATCAAATAAAAGTTTAGCAAATGTTTTAATCCTTTTATTTTTTGGCAAAGTGCTGCAAAACAGATTTAGTCAATTAAACCATGGACAAACAATATATATATATTCCTAAAGAATGTGTAAATACATTTTAGTATTATTGTTGGTGTTTAAACAGCACTTCCTCTTTAAAAAAGGGGAGGAGACCACAAGAAACTCTGGGTTTACTGAAGAAAACCTGCTCCCGACCAGGTTAGGTTCACAGAGTAAGTTACCATGGTAACTGACTCTGAGTATAAGTTACCTCTCTTTCAGAAACGGGCTTGACTTACTCTGCTTTCTCGGGTTTGATATACCCCCCTTTCTGAAACGGAAAACCCAGAGTTTCCCTCATTTCAGGGTTAACATACTCAGAGTTTTCACTTAACCTCCTTTCTGAAACAGGCCCCTGGTCAGGCTGCAAAAGGTTTGTTGCTTGTAATGTTTTTTTTTTTTTTTTTTCAATGATGAATGTGTATGTAAAATTGGTAATTTATGTATTAGAAATGTGGATTTTTAGACTTCTACACTGAGAAAATCCAGAAAATAATGTATTTTTCAGCTTAAGTGGATGAAAAAGATTTTAGCTTAAGTGGATGAAAAACAACAACTCCCAGAATGCACTTGCTTCGCTGTCCGAGGTGGCCACGCCTACCTGTAAGAGATCACAATTAAACAAAAAGGCTAGCTACTAGTGAGTCTCCGTGATGAGTCTGACAAGGATTTCGAGATCGCCCAAATGTCTGGGATTCGGCTTTTGTGTTCTACAGTCTCCATTCATTATTCTACTGATACAAAGCTTGAAGCTAAATCCTGAAGTATCTCTTTAAAGGGCACCTATTATGGAATCTTGAAAATTTTGAAGTTAGCTTTCATGTAGTATGTAACAGATCTAAGTGAACCAAAGTAAAGTTTTAAATATAAAAGTTCTCCTTTGCAGAGTCAGTGGATCAAATCGTTCAAACCGTTGAATGAATCATTCTGGAGTCGCTAAGCAAATCAGATAAAAATAAATTAATATTATATAAGACAAGAAAAGTGTTTGTCATTGCATGTATGTAAAAGTGTAAATAATAGTGATAAGGTGTCAGGTAGTGGTGTGGCATTAAATGCCATAATAAGGGCCCTTTAACCTGGCTACAAAAAATGAGCTTTCAGTAAGATTTTGTTTTGGGCGCAGTACCACAAATTCCCCATTAGATGCCAGCAAAACTCCACTGGGACACAGAGGTTTAATTTGTCCTTTAGAGTGGAGTTTTTCCTCTCAAATTACACGCATTCAAACCACATGGACGAGTGGAAGCATAAAAGGTGGAGCGACGAGATCGAGAGATCGACGTGAGGGCTGTAGGGAAAAACTTGTTCACAGCTGTGTAAAACTTTTTTCTTGGAATAAATATATGAATATTACAAATTTATAACTATTGGTAAAAATAATTTCATTTATAATTATCTTTGGCAGAAATTAAAATATTCTGACAGTGATACTGCGTTCACGTGCTATGCAAAGTAGGATATTTTCCACTTGTGAACTGGTATTTACCTAAAACTATTTTAGATTGCTTAAGTCATCTGCAACAGCAAGAAAATGATTTGTCAAAACTCAAAAGGTAAATAATATGCTGTATATTTTCTAGCATGAATAGTATATATTTTTACCATTCACGACTCTCGCAGTGCTCTCCGCCATTTTGAAATGGTCAAAGGTTATCTCATCTCGGCAACTCGTCCAAAATATCAAAATATTCTACGAGTTGCCCAGTGGAAAATACCACATGAGGGGGTGTTCATGTGCATTTTACATGTCGGATTTTGGTATTTACCATAATTACCATAGCACATGAACGCAGCATGAGACCATGGTAACCACAGGTAAAACCATGTATAGCTACTCGCTCACTACCACTGTGTAAGAATGGATAAATTACAGAATAATGCCGGACAGTTTGTTTCGAGGGTGACCAGAACCTGAGGACAAAAGGACCTCTCTGGAGATTACCATTTGAACTGGCTCTTATGCAACATCGAGACAAAAGTCTCAACTCCAAATCAACTTCATCTACATCTCTTTCCCTCTCTCTTCACCCTTCTCTCATGCTCAGATGATCACCTGAATCCTCTCAAGAAAATATATTTAAATATAAATAATACAATATAAATATATAGTTTAATGTGAATGATTATCACAGAGTATTTTCATATTTGGCATCATTTAAAATGTCACAGTGTGACTGGTACAAATGTCTCATTTCGGAATAAGTAAAACACAAGGTAATAAGGTTTTTTATTTACCTTATAAGAGTTAATGGATAACTGACACACTATAGAAGAAGGTTTCTCAAGCAAATGGTTATTCACCCCCATGAAGGTGTGATCTCTGAATGTAAAACTCTATAAGCCACATAAATAACATATTAACTCACATTTGACGAAGTGATCACTGCACACACACACACACACACACACACACAGGCATTTTCCCATTCAGCTCCTCCCGACCGCAGACGTAGGTTTGCAAGGCATTTTTCCTGGTGTTTTTCTGTCAATTTCTTGTATTTCCCCCCTTTATGAACAACAACTTTTGGCACACGATAAAAACTCCTCGTGGTTTGATCGATTTGAGCAACCATAAACGACGCAAAACATAGGCATTTTGAGTTTGTTATAGTGCTTCCTAAATATAGAAAATCACTTTCTGCCCTCCATCTGCATTTGAAAACAAGCTATTGTAAGTATAATATACATATATTATTTAAGTATATTGTTGTATAGTCCAATTCCGGACTTATGGCCCTTTCTCACGATAACCGGAAACACGTAATCGTTGTGGAAGCGGAGTTCCTGTCAACAGCCAACACATCAGAAAAACATACCCGAGGAAGATACAATCGACCAGCAAGTCTTCACAACTTCAAAAAATATATAAACTTGTCATGGTCCAGTTGTTGATGACTTTGTAAAATGCTGTGGTGATGCTTGTCTGCAGCTGAATGTATCTAAGACCAACAATATGACTATTGATTTCAGAACTGAAGCTCATTCTTCCCAATATACATTCATTGAAGATGAGAAGGTGGAGTGTGTGGAAAGTTATTAATATTTAGGGAGTATTATTTACAATAAACTGCATTTTGATGTGAATACCAGAAAGAAGTCTGTCAGTTTTATTCAACAGTTATGCTCTTAGGGAATGACCTTTTTTGCAATGCTCTTGCTATAGAACTATCAAAGATGAAGAGCAAATTATACAAATATTAATTTATCCCTTGTACACTCCGATTGTTTAATACTCAAAATGGTATATATATATATTAATATTTTAAATGTATATGTAGCATTCTGTTGTGTGTTCTTATTTATCTTGTTTTATATTATGGTGTATATTTTTATGTGTTTATAATGCTGCATACAAATTGCCCGGGATCTTAATAAAGTAAACTAGAACAACTTCAATATACAAATCATAATACATAAATAATAAACATAAACAATGACAGCTTAGTGAATGGTGACATTATAAGTAAGTACGAATGAAAACGACAGATATGGCTGCTTTTGGGAATAATGAAAAAAAAAAAAAAGAAAGATTGGTACGCAACTACTCTTACTAGTTGCCTGCGCTATTTGTACCTGATCAGATTGGTTGTCCTGTAATAGGGACAACAGGGCTGTGTCGTCTGAGAACTTTACCAAATAGCTGTTCTCCCAAGATGACCTGCAGTTGTCGGTGTATAATATAAACAGCAAGGGTGAAAGCACACAGCCCTGAGGAGAGACACGATGACAGATGACATTTTACCATTTACATATACCTGCTGCCTTCTATTTGTTAAAAATTTTAAAACTAATAATAAGATCTGCTCGGGTAACTTAAAATGTGAGGCTAATCGTTCAATTAGGATATGGGGCTGCATTTTGTTAAAAGCTGAACTAAAGTCAGCAAATAAAATTCTTACGTGTGAGGCAGGTTTCTCAAGATGTTTATACACCCTGTCAAGAATGAAAAGCTTTCCATCCTTTACCCCCTTGCCCTCTTGATATGCAAATTGTAATGGATCTAACGGAAGTAGATCACCACGACAATTGCGTATTTCCGGCCACAAATATGGAAGATATGAGAAAGGTCTATGTGTCTTTCTCATTGGCCACATGAAGCTGATGCGAGCTGCGAGACTGACAGGTAGGTTAAACGTGTGAAAACTAATTATGAATGTTTCCTTTATTTATCAGTGCATTTGTTTTACAATGGCTTTTATTATTAGTGCAATGTAGACAGACACTAACTAAAAGAGGATTGAGTTTTTCTTTGTTCAATTTGCACACTGAATATGGGTTAGAGCTTTTTATTTTGAACTCTCAAAGTGCACCAGATTGATGAATTTAACATTAAAAAGCACAAAAAAGTCTTCTGGGGTGGGGGGTTGGCGAGACCCCCCTAGAAGGACCGAGGTCCACCCATACCACAGTTTTACTAAAAATCCTGTGACAAACACTGGTATTGCTATGTCTGTCCAGCTTATAGCTTGTTTTAGGATTTATCACTCTGGAGTATAATTTCTTTTTTTTTTTTTTTAGTAAATTGTTTTAATAAATGACTTTTTTATTTTATTTCATCTGTTAACTCTCGCTCATTACATGTCTACTAACTCATTACATGGCATTAGTGGTTAATAATAGTGATAAGGTGTCAGGTAGTGGTGTGGCATTTTAATTTGCTTACCTCCAGCTTCATCCATCAAGCCATAAAATAAACTGTCATCAGGCACTTGAACACAGAAACAGAGGACACAGTAATGAGCATCAATTGTTAGGTTGAGTGAATGCGCTCTCTAAACAATTTCCCCATGAACTATGCATGTATACACAGAGTAACAGCCTCAACATTAGCTGCAGGGTCATCCTCATCATCATCCTAGATGTTAAATACATGAATCCTAGAACATCTTCTGGTGGTGAGGCAGCATACATCTTCATTCAGCTGGACATTGGATCCCCTCTAATGTCTCTCATCCTTTTCTTTCAATCTAGACATCCTTCACAAGCTATAATTATGACATGATTAGGGTTGTAAAGCAATACTGGTATAATTATCATACTACACACACACAATTAAACTAGGTGTGTATTAGTGCACTACATATGGCCTTTGAGTTCCAAACAAGTTGCCTATGTCCAGTATGAGCGGCAAAGACATTTAAAATGTTCCACGTCAGTGATAAATAAACTGCCATAACGGAATTAATGTTTGTTGGTTGAAGACGGTGGTAGAAGTAGACGAGCTCGAGTTGATTTCTTATTTGTTTCATATAAACTGCGCGAATTTTGTTAGACAAGTTACTTACTTCGTTTGATTTACATTATAGGATTAGTTAGTTAACGTATTTATATTAGTTGTGTACATTGATAAGGTCGATATTCAGCTAGGTCATAGTTTTTTACCCTTAGATTTAGTGTACAGTTAAGTTGTGTGTATATACGTTGTTTACGTGTTTGTGTACATAAGATTAGCACGTTTATACGCCGTTTGTAGCTATATTTACTTATTTGTTTTGGTACGCGTCGTGTTCATATAACGTTACGAGTGGACCGTTTTTGTAATTTTAGTTTTATAATTCAGGCCCATCACATCACTGTCCCCGTGAACACATACTTTACATTGGTAAGTACGTTAAATGTATTATTATATTATAACCTCTAGTCCACAGCTAACGTTATATATGCCAATTACATATTTATGCTGTGGGTGAAGTGCGCGAGACAACATTTCTTGCGCGAGATCATGCAATCCCGGGCTCGCGACGCAATATCTATCCAAATAATTGATTCTTGAATAAAAGAAAGCTAACATTTGATATAATTATAATTAAACACATAATAAACGTTTAAATTATGAAACATATTACCATTTAAAAGTGTTTCTGTAGCCGCAATCTGCAAGCCGTGTGTGCGGCTCCTGTTCACCTGTGGATGTACTAACGCATAAGGTTACTGCCCCGGGCAGACAGCACACTATACCGCCACCTATTGTACTGGAGTTTAATTAAAATGAGGTCTAGGATTGTGCTAACACACTGAAAAGTATTTATTTAAGTGTACTATAAAAACAATAGGACAAATCACAATAATAGCCTAATTCACCTTTGTTTGTAGAGAGATGTGGTTAATTTGAACTTAATACTAAGGTCACAGCTGAGTGTAGACTGTGCAGACCATTCAGCCTGAAACATATCTTTATAGAATCATCTCTGATGGTCTTCGGGGTCTATTGGACCCCAAATGACTTTTGCTTGAATTAAAAAAAAAAGTTCTCTTTTTCCAAATGGTATGAAACTTCCTACGGCTCTCAACACTGTCTAGATCTACAAAAAAAAAAAAAAATTAAAAATGGAATTCTATCTGTTTTTATGTAGGCCTGACAAAAATAGTCACACTCGTGGTCTTCGGGGTCCATTGGACCCCAAAAAATAATAACGTAATTTTGCAACAGAACAATAGTTTTTTTTTTTTTTACAAATATAATTTTACTCTGTTTATTAATGTTTTTACTCAACATTTGTGCAGTTTTAGGGGATTTATGATATCTTTTAAATATATATAAATAAATAAATATTTATTTATCATTGGACTCAAAATAGACAAAATTCATCATCAAAATCAGAAATAATGCAGAACACAGACAGAAATGACAGAAATGAAGTGGCACACTTCCAACAATGCAAAAAACATCCACAATCCAAAATTATCATGCTCACACACATGCACACACACACACAAACACACACATATAGAGGAATACAATATACAGGAATACATACAGACTATAAAAACTGTTCTCTTATCATTTGTAAAATAAAATACTCTAAAATGCAGAACCACCGCAAAAATAAATTGGTAACACTAAGACACATTGGAAATGTGCACACACACACTCAGGAATACATTTGTAAGGCTATAAAAAAGATAAAAGAGATGAGACCAACTATTGTTCTATTGTTCCAAACTATTGTTCCTAGTTGTTCGATTTTCTTCCCAATTTACTTTTTTTTTTTTTTACAAAAACAAATGCTAAACTTTGACAAAAAGTATTTTATTTTTGTTATAATTGTAATTTTATAATATTTAGATATGAATCCAACTGAATCCAAGTTTAGAAACAAAATCTTTCAGTAATTCAATATAGACATCTAGTGGTTAAAGTGACTTATTACAAATTTTAACCTGTTTTTTTTAAAGAAATGGGCAAAAATCTTACATTCAACCTTGTAAAGTTATCCATGGTAACCCCTAGGAATGAAAGTTATAAATCTGGGTCTGTTATAAAGTCTATTTAACATAAAATGCTGTTTTTTGGTAAATATCCTATTTAAATAAATATTTATTTATTTATTTATAGAAATAAATTAAAAAAAAATCACAAATCCTCCAAAAACTACACAAATGTTGAGTAAAATCATTAATAAACAGAGTAAAATTATATTTGTTAAAAAATATATGTATTATTCTGTTACAAAATTAGATCTTATTGTCTGGGGTCCAATAGACCCCGAAGACCACAAGTGTGACTTTTTTTTGAAGACCATCAGAGGGTTAAACCTTTACATTACATGAAAACTTAAATTAATTCAATTTATATTTAAATTATATATTTAAACAACAACAAAAAATCTAATTAGGGACAATTTACAAATTGTTTACTTAAAAAAGTAATTGTTTACTTAAACGTTAAGGCTTTAGTTTAAATATGCTTTGCCACAAAAAAAGTTGTTATATATATATATATGCATGTATATTTGTGTGTGTGTGTGTGTGTGTGTGTGTGTAATTTATACTTATTTCTATTTTCTCAGCCAGTATACTTCTTGCAACTATGTCATCCAAAAAGGTAAGTTCAGAATCAAATCAAGTTTGGTTGATACTGGTAGTTTGAGGGGAGAATAAATAGATTAAATCTACAAGTTTACTGAAAAACATAATTTATTGGATCATTGGCAGAGACACCAGTACAGTAGCTTGATGACATCCAAAGAGCGTAGGAGGCAGTACAAAAGAATTTGGACAAGAGTGTCGAGGGCACAAAAGAAGGCAGCCAACAAACAAACTGTCAGTTCAGATGAGATGGCCAGCGTTCCTGATACTGAAAGTTTTAGTCACAACCAGCTCTTTGAGGAGGAAAATCATGTTTTTTCAGATCCAACCCTGTCAAGTTCTGAGAGTGAACAAGACAGTATAACCATGCCTCTCAGAGAACAACTATCTGAATGGGCATGTGCATTTCAAATTAAACATAATGCTTTGGATGCTATCTTAAGCATACTTAAAAAACATGGACATGAAGAACTCCCCCAAACAGCAAGGACACTCTTTGGAAACGAAAACCACTATGAACTTTCTAACAAAGATGGTGTCGAGAGTGTTAAGTTTAATGTGGCAGATCAACTGTCAAAGCATCTGAGCAGATATCCTGCATCTGTGACAGAGCATCTGCAGTCACTTGACCTTTCGATGAACATTGATGGGCTACCATTGTTCAAAAGCACGAACCTATCCCTCTGGCCAGTTCTCTGTTCCATAAACTTGTCACCCGAATGCATTTTCCCCCTCTGCATATCCATTGCTGCATCCAAACCCAAAACACTAAACTTTGTTGATGACATTATTCAGGAATTGGGAGAACTAATCCAGAATGGTCTGACCTGGGGAGGCAGATGCTTAAACATCCAAGTAAGATGTATTACCTGCGACGCTCCAGCAAAAGCTATGGTCAAGTGTGTAAAGCAGTTTTCTGGATACTATGGGTGCGATAGATGCAACCAGAGGGGATCCTGGCGTGGTAGGATTACATATCAAGAAACAAATAACCTGACCATGAGGACAGATGAATCATTCAGGGAGTGCTGGCAACCTGAACACCATCAAGAAGAGCAGATCTCACCCTTCTCTGTCCTCCCGATTGACATGATAAAATCCTTCCCCATAGATTATATGCACCAGAGCTGTCTTGGGGTAATGAAAAAGTTGCTGCTTTTGTGGACAAGAGGTAGAACAGATTTGCGGATGTCATCAGGAGATGTGACCAGAGTAAGTGAGAGGCTGGTTACACTAAAGAAGTCCATTCCTGATTGTTTTGCCAGGAAGCCAAGGGGTTTGAATGAAATTGAACGCTGGAAAGCAACAGAGTTCAGACAGTTTGCTTTGTACACTGGGAAGATTGTTCTAAAGGGAGTTCTCAACGATCAGCTGTATGAACACTTCTTGTGTTTCAGCACAGCTCTTTGCATTTTAGTGAGCCCAGACCTTACAAAGTCACAAGTACCTTATGCAAACCAGCTGCTGAAATATTTTGTGGAGAGAGGACGGGAGCTGTATGGAGAGACATTTTTGGTTTACAATGTCCATTCCTTGCTGCACCTTGCAGAAGATGCCCAAAACTTTGGCAGCCTTGATAACTGCAGTGCGTTTAAATTTGAGAGCTATCTTCATCAGATGAAGAAAATGGTGCGGTCTGGGAAAAATGTTTTGGCACAAGTTGCAAATCGACTGGAGGAAAGATCAAAGTCCAAGATGGAAAACAAGACAATCTTGATGTCAGTCAAGTGCCCAAACAATGTGTTTGTGTTAAGCCCTGAACAATGTTGCGAGGTGGTGTCAGAAGAAGAAGACAGCAACACAGTGTTATGCAGAGTGTACACAAATCTACAGCCATATCTGATGA